AATACGAAATCAACACTCATACACTTACGAAAATGGTCACTCAGACTGTGTGCCCACCAAGTGCACAACAGGTGTTGGAATGGTAGAATATTATTTCTAACTTGACTTTCTTTTTTGGTAAAAATAAGTGAGTTCGAAACAGAAACCATCTTCACCCAAACGACATCACCCTGGAATACATTTTCACTTGTAAAAGCCAGATACAATTGCCTTATTTGGGTAATTTTTGAAATATCATCAAGCACTCCTAATGATAACTGGTAGATAATGTCACCAATTTTCCTTTAAGAATAATCATATCATAAACAAACAAACATACATTCGAGAGAATTTATTATCACCTATCCATCCATCATATCTTCATCTCTTTCTCTCTGTCTATCAGTTTATCTATCTATTTATTCATCTGTCTCTATATATATTTATCAATCTACCTTTTTATCTAGATAACTAGCTCGCTAACTAGGTATCTGTCTGTCTATCTACCTATCTGTTTGAGAACGAGAGAAAGACTCTCTCTGTAAGAGTCAGGGAAGGACCTCTAAACATTGGTGACAGGGAGTAGTAAAAGCTTGGTGGCTTAAATCTCTTTATTGATAAGAGTTAGCACACGGAGTTGATAACACAAGGATGACACTTGGGTATCGCGCGGTCAGCGGGGAGGGGACGGTCAGCCCTGACCTGAGCCGGACAGGCGCCGACCTTGGGTCAGCCAGCAGCAGGCACACTCTAGTTGACAGGGGTCAACCTTGGAGAATAAGTAGCGGCGGCCACCGGAAGCAGGGGCGGAGCCACAGCGGCGTGGCTAAAGAAACTGCCAGTACCCGACCTTCACGTGGGCGTGGCCGCCTGCGGCGGCAGCCAGACCTCCAAGCTAACCTCTCTCTGCAGCTGAGGGTCAGGTCAGCGGCAGGTGTTTCTATGAATGTCACCCCCCCCCCTCTCTCTCTCTCTCTCTCTCTCTCTCTCTCTCTCTCTCTCTCTCTCTCTCTCTCTCTCTCTCTCTCTCTTACACACACACATGTATGTGTATTTATAATCATTGAGTTTTATGTATAGATAGATATAGATATGTACACCCACGCACATATATTTATACTTCAAATTCTAACACTCTCTCTTTCCTCTTTTTCTTCTTCTCCTCCTCCTCTTCATCTTCATTATCATCATCATCATCACAAAACAGAGTTTGGTGGTAGTGAGGCTGTAGTTGTAGAAGTGTTTATGTTAGGGGTCTAGTATTTGTGGACGATCTTGGTGGTTACTTTAACTCGAGATAAGGGCCAAAATACCAAATCGCCTCCTGAAACTGTCACCTCAGCATCCATACAAGCGAACAACCAACCCCGTGTCTAGGTGACCTGGCATCCCTAGGTCGGCCCTCATTAGAGGCAGTTCAGCTTGGAGCATCATTGAGTGAAGGTGAATCAGTGTTGATTCTTCTTAGTCACGCAGAATAAAACTGCGTAATTAAACGTAAAAACTATAAAAAGATATTTAAGATTATTTATAGTATTAGTGCGGAGTTAACCATAGACAGTACGCCTTTCTCCCCGAAGTTAGTGGACGACGGGCCAAGGAACTATAGTCCACTTGTAAGTATTTTTACGAAATAAAATTGAAAGTTCTTTTTGCACACAGTGTTTCATATAATCCCATTTTGTCATTCCTACATTATAAGACACTGAGCTTAAAGGGAACCACACCACAGGGGTACGGGGTGGGAGACACACAGTGGTAAACGAAAAAGAAATATTTACGCCAGTGAAATCGCTCGAAGTATATAGACACGAGAAATACAATATTTATTAAAAAGACGAACCCACTGGGCTCTTGAATAATAATGATATATATTAATTAATATATCAATAATTATGGCATATAAATAAATAAGAATAACTTTAATGCATCGTAAGATTCTACAGGATTAGTGATGAATACTGGGACAGAAAATTGCCACGCCGATCTGAAGTTTCAACGATTAAGAATAGTATTAAATCTAACTGAAATAACCTTTCATTGAATCACGAGAGGAAAGTGATACGGAGAATTTAGTCAGGGATAACCCAGCCTAACCATTATCATTTCGCTTATTCTCCTTTACCTTCGTTTCCTTATTCCCGACCCCATGCCCCCCCCCCCCCACCATCAAGCCAACCGCTAATTCCCTGCTGAGACCCATTAATAAATACGCTTTGTGACGTGCATGTGTGAATCCATTGAGCAAAGATCCAAATAGACTCTTGATGTAGAGTATCAGCTTGTATTTTATTCTTTCTTTTGACATCAATAATAATGGTCGAATAGAAGAAGCGACAGAAGCCATTTAAATCGCGTTCGAGAATAAACCATGAAACGTATTATTTCATTTCACATTGAAAATATAGCTACCTCTAGATAAGCTAAAGTAATAAAAAAAACAAAAATATGCACCTAAGTTATTTTTATGGGAATAAGAAGTCAAAGCATCGAAATGCATACATTTTTTTTAACTTGTAACGAACGCAATTTCAAACTTGGCGGAGTGTCATTGACGCCTTGTTGTCAAACTGACACGATTTCGTATGTATCTCTACGAATTATACCCTTTTCCCTAGTTAAAATGAAATAATTACAACTCCAGGAATATATAGGATGTATTTACATATAGCAATATACTTAGTAATAAAAGATTTCGTGTGAAAGTGACAAGCCTAAGCTTCTTCAGTGTTTGCTTAATTTGAAGAGTATTTAAATGTGTATATATAAGGCGCTTGCTTAATTTAAAGAGTATTCATAAGTATATATAAGGTGCTGATGGTGCACAGATGTACAGATTAATAATTAAAAGTAATTTGTAGTGGATAGTATTTCACCAAGGATACTTCGGGCATAAAATTGTGTCAGAGATGGTGATGTCGTTGTCAAGCACCGAGGCCAACTCCACATCACAAAATTGTATGGTATTTTTTTTTAGAATACCTTAGCATGACTGATTGTAAGATTTTGGTATCGATAGATTCCTCTCACCTCTACTATTGCTATACATAGGAATTATGTCACAGAAATCCCCCCCCCCCTATTAGCGACTATCTTGACCTTGATAGTAGGGAAGGGCATGGAAGGTACTAGGGGTATTGTGGGGTAAAATATGAATAATGTACACAGAATCAGTTACTATATTGCTAAAGGGTGGTGTTCTCCCTGCTACTGACCCACAACCCCCACAGTGGAAGACAAAGCAGGGTAGAGTGTATGGCCGACTTACTCAAATGCCTGATACAGAATCTGCCCTATGCTCTATTCTGTTGCACGTTCATGGAGGATTCTTTATTTGCTTGGGCAGGGGGTTGTCCTTGCTTCATTCAGCAATATAGTGAGGTATTATCTTCATTATGTTATTATATTATTGTTAGTTTATCCTGCAGTTTCCTTGGTACCTTTCATGCCCTCCCCTGCTATTAGGGCCAACAGATTCTTGGAAGGTATTGTGAAAAATTACCAAATTTATCTAACAATCTTAATTACTGTGACTAGGCAACTGATGGGGGCTCTGGCCCACAAGACCCCCTTGCAAAAATTGTCTCCATCTTGGTAGGTACAACAAGATAGAGCTGAAACTCTAGAGCACCGAGTGAGCTTCAGCTGTGAGTGGTGCTTTCAGCAATCTTTTTTCTTAATTTGTAGCATTACTGTTTGTGTCTGCATATTATGTCTTGTACCAAAAGTTGTAGCTCTTTGTCCTCTATAAGCATATCATCTTCAATTTGCTCTAGCTTAGTGCATCCATGCTGTAAAGATTAACCTTTTTTCTTAATTAGTTTTAAGTTTGATTTTTATCATTATTTGGTGTGTGTTAAAAGACATTAACTTTTCAGGCCAAGATGATGCGGAAATCTAATTTAGGAACAGGGAGTGTGCAGCGGCCAGGTGCCCTGAAACCTCGAAATACAGACAATACTCCTAATAACAGGTAAGATGGGACTTAACTTAAATTTTGACTAGCAGAAATATGTTTTAAGTAATTCTTGTATGTGCTGAACAATAATAATATGAATCTAAGCCCACACTTCTCATTTTCATATTAAGAGGGTAAACTAGCTATATGTACAGTGATAATGAAATAGAATATTTGATAGAATGCATTACAAACTTTTTGATGCATCATACTTTAACGTGCATAATCACTTCTGTGCTGCAGATGGAGTTCAGGACAGCAGACAAGGAAATCATACCTTCCCAAAGCCTCACAGCCGGACAGTGCCAAGAGACTAGCCAGCAGAAGTAAACGCATCAGTGCTGAAGGAATCAGCAGACTCTCCATAGCTTCAGGAAGGTTTACCCCCACTCGCAACAATGCCATGTCCTCGAACACATTGGCTCCTCCTCCAAGTGTCAGCAGGTTAGTGGAGAAATGCAGTTCTCTTTTAGTGCTTTGACTCTGATGTTTAGGTCACCTAATAAATGTTAAGGAGTACATGTGCTGTAATTGCATGGATTTCATTAATTGCATGATAATTGATTGATTTCATTATTGGAAACATGACTAATAGGAATTACACCAAAAATGCATGCTATATCAAATGACAGAGGAAGAATTTTTGACTTACGTACTTTATATCCTTCCCATATTTATAATTCTACTTCATTGAAACATACATTTGCTTACATATATTCAGAGTTTAGGGAAATTTTGTACTTATCTGCTTCAAATTGTAAGTAGCATTTTATCCATTATTTTATATTTTTACTTCATATTGTTTTAGGAGAATTGTAGTACACTGTATCCTCAATCCATGTTTACCCCTATGACCTACAGACTGTCAATGGATTCGGTTCGTAACTCGAGCATGGGAGGGAAAGTGAGGAAGGAGATCCGCCCCATCACAGACTCCAATTTCAAGAGTCAGTGTGTGGACAAAATTCTGGACTTCCTTGTCAGTAGGGGCTATGAACACCAGCTTCAGCGAAGGACACTTCTCACGCCATCCACAAAAGATTTTGCAAATATATTCAATGTATGTATTGGGGGGACTTCTGTTTGTTTTTTCTTTTTCTTTTGTTATTTGCCTTTCCTTTTGTTGTGGAGATATTGTGACTGAGATTTCATATAGGTTTATTATGATTTATCAGTGTTATATGGTGCAATAATCAGTTTGTAAAGAATGAAAAATTTTATTTGGCTTGTGCTTTGAATGGCTATTGATTAATGATAATATGGGTATTATTAACTTGGTATTTACACTGGGATTTATTATAACTATTCTTCTTTCTCAGTTTATATACAGGCACCTCGATGGTCAATACAATTTGCCAAATAGATTTGAGGAGGAAATTCCTCGCCTGTTAAAGCTTTTGAAATATCCAGTGCAGATGTCAAAATCATCCTTCATTACAGGTTAGTTGATTTTTTTCTCTCCCTCTCCTGTGTTCTTCATCACCATCATCATTTTTTTTTCTTCCTCTGTTCCTTTTTCAATTGTCATCATTATAATTTTTATTGTTATCCTGGTGTCTGTAATTTTGCTGTTCTTTGTCTTCTATTCTAATGCTTTTCCTCCCCCACTGTTACCTTCCTCCCTTTACACTGTTATCTATTCTTTATCATCTATTATTCCTTTCTATTTTCTATTACTTCTCTCTCCCTTTTATGTCATAATTATCTTTCCCTTCATCAGCTTCTTTTGCATATTTTTATTTTATTTTTCTCCATGTTTTCATGAAATAATAATATTATGAACAAAATATCATAGGATAGTGAAGATTGTCACAAAAATGTACATGGAACATAAGATAGATTGTTTATTTATTGATTTAATTATTTATTTATTTTATTAAAATTAATTCCTTTACAAGCGGGGACACCATTTTGGCATCAATTTTTTGTTATCCTTTGTGACTGTAACTGTTCTGATACATATGTTGATAAGGAAGTCATGGTGATTTACTCAGTATACTTGCCTCTTCATTTGAATAATGTGTAATTGACCACTCAGTGAGTCAGCATTTTCTATAATTAGTTTATTGAAATTTTTACTTGTACAAGGTAAGTTGGCATTAAGCAAGCCACAAAATCATTAAGTAGAATTACATTGAATCCTAATGCTCCATTCAGTGTTTTGATGGATTGTCTGATATATATATTAACATGGCTTTAGGACAAAATATGAAGGTCACTATAGACCATATATCACATATGATATTTACAACTATAAAATTTTTACAATGTAACTAACTTATTTCTGAGAAAATGTGTTTCCACCACTTTATATAATTTTTAGTAACTAGCTATCACTTTTTCTAAATTTATGTAGACTTCCTTTGCTGGCTTGATGTTTAGAAAAAAACAAAATACTTGGCAAATGGCATCAACAAGTTTAAACCTACCTTCATATTCTTTTCCTGAAATTTGGTTCCTTTGGTTTCTGAATAAATAATGAGTCCAACTGTCATTTGCATTATATTTGAAATACACTTGGTACTTATACTTTATTGCCAATGACAGTTTTACACACTTTAGCACACCATAAAAACTTGAGATTTCTTCAATTACCAGAGTGATCTTGTAGGAACTTAATCATTTTCCTTGTAAAAAAAAAGAAATTGGCACTTCTTTAAAATCCCAATTGCTGAAACTTGCTTTGATTAATGTTATGTAAAGTAAAGTTTTCTGTACATTTGATTAAGCAGACATGTTGTTTTCTCACAAACAGTTGGGTCTCCCCACACATGGCCCTCCGTTCTGGCTATGCTGGCATGGTTGGTTGATGTGGTGAATATGTATGACTACATGAACCCAATGCCCATTGCCTTTCCAAGTGATTTTGACAGCGACATCAATCTTGCCAAGTCTAGGTTTACTACACTGGTCGAACTTGCCAACTGTGATGATGACACAGAAAAATTTGAGGCTCAGTTAGAGGTAAGTTTTGTGTCTTTAATTTAGAACATCCTTGGAGTTGGGTATCTGTGTACTTTTTTTAGAATCATACTCTGAAGTAGTATGATTTGAAATATATATTGTTAAAATATTTTGAATAATAACTCATTGTTTTTGAATCTGTTGAAATAACCTGAACTTCTTTTTCTGCCTGCAGGAGTACAGGCATTTACTAGAGCAAGCACAAGGTGTGAGGGCACAGGATCTTTTGCAAATTCAGGAGGAAGATGAAAGGGTTGAAGACATGGTGAACAACCTGAGCAATGGACCAGAAAGACTACAGCAGTTACATCATCAATACACTCAGGTATCAGTGAATTTAATGTGAGAACCTTTTTAGAGCCATTCTTATTCTTATTCTTATTCTTATTAGTATTATTATTATTGCACTAAATAGAACAACCAAGGAAGGTTTTATGTTATATATATTCTTTTTTCTTTCATTATATTAAGGGAACCCCTCTTATTGTGTTATTTCTTTACAGCTTGTAGATGATAGTGAAAAAATGTCAGATTACTGCAGAGAGCTGCAGGTACATATTTCTGCAAAGGATGGTGATCGATCACAGTTGGAATCAAAACTGGCTGAACTAAGATCTATTAAAATGCAGGTATGATATTGTCTCCATATGAGCAAGTATGTATTGATAATCTCCAAACTGATATTACTGCTACATCATTGCTTTCTAACCTAAGGATGATATTCATGCTAAACTTTATTCTGTAAAATGTATGTTTTTTGTCTGATAACAGGTTGATAATTACAGCCTGGTAATTACTAGCTATAGAGGACATGGCTCTTCAATTTCACTCTTATATTCCAATAGGTTTTTGAGGAAGTTTCTCGGTTGGAAACTCTGAAGGAACAGCAGGCTTTGAATGTAGGGGAGTTGGCAAGATTTAAGAACCATGCAAATGATGTGGCTACCATTATCTCACAGCTCCAAGCCCAGGGCAAGGACCAAGATTCTCAGGTGAAGTTTTATTCTATTTTATTTATTTATTTATTTATTTTTTATCACTTGTTTTTTTTAAATTGATTAATTTATTTTTTTTTTACTTTAAGATGTGAAATAGTTTTAGACCAGATTTTTTGTTATGTATATCATTTTCTTTTGCTTCTTTTTTTTCTTGTCTATACTTTTATTTCCTTCTTTAGCCATTTCTTGATTAGTTCTTAGTGTTTGTGTAGAGAATGTGGTGATGTAAATATATTCAAGAATTAAATTATTATTTTAACCATAAAATAAATTGAGGTTGAAATTAAATTTGTAGTGATTGAATCATCGTTCATTTTTTTCATTTTCTTGTATTTAATTTTTTTCTTCCTGCATGCATTATTTTTTCATTTCATTTATTATTCAGTATTGTTTTCTCACGCCATTTGATTACATATTGACTTTATGCCCTGTGGGTGTGGGTGTACGTACATATATATACATATATATATTCTTTTCTTTTATTAGTGTTATTAGTATTAGGAGTTAAATGTTTATCTTGACAGTATAACTGAAAAGAACTTGTCATCTGGGGGGAAAAAATTAAATGGGACAATTTTAGTTAAGGGGGAACCTTTCCTTACTTTTTCATATGTGCTGATTGTTGTAATCTAGAAAAGGATATTGCCTTTCACTGAATTACAAGTCAGTAACTTTTTTAGCTATTCAGAGGTGCTTAGAATAGGAGTACTATATTGTGACAGGATGATTTTGTCTTTCGGTTCACTCAGAATATATCTTTATTGTATTTAGCACTTGAATTTCTACTGCCTGTCTTTTAATAAGTTGTATTTATGTTGTAATGTGTAGAGAGTAAGGGTAATTCTTGTTTCATGTTTATTGAAAAAGGTATATTTTTATGGCTCTCTAATACTTAATATGATATTTAATGAAACAATAATAAGTGGTGTAATAACAGTACTAAACATGTTTATTATTATTATTATTTTATTATTATTATTTTTTTTTTTCCAGCAACAGATATACTACTGGATAGGAAAATGTTTATTATTATTATTATTATTATTATTATTACTATATTTTCCCCAGTAACAGATATATTACTGGTCAGAAAAATCTGTGAGTTGAAAAAAAATAATAAATTTGAATAACCCATTGACACCAGGAGGACATGTAGGCTATATAGATACTTTGTCCACTATGATTTTACCTTATTAATTTTGTTTGTTTATAGATGGCTCCACAAATGCTTAGTCGCTAAGGAGTCAGATACTATGCTTACCTGATCATAAGTTTACCCTTTTCCTTAATTTTCAGAAAAAGAAATATTAATTACTTTTTATTTGTTTATTATTTTATTAATGTTAATAACATTATCATAATGTCATTAGTAAGAAAAATTGGATGAATAGGGCAATAAGATGCTAATTGACACAAATAAAACAACCCTATAGTGTACATATATCTAGTGCTAGTTGGTTAGCTTGTTTTATTTGGAATTTTTATTTTCTCTTTTCAGGTATGGTCACTAGAGATGGAATTGGGCAAAGCTCAGTCAAATCTCTGTGAAAGTATATGTGCCTATAACAAACTGGTCCACCAGCTGGACCTTCCTGAAGAATATGAAATTTCTTCAGCTGATGTAGCTGAGAATATCCACCACTGGCAGACTACACTACTTGATGAGCTGCGGAGTAAGAAGAAGGAAGCAAAACATGGCATGTATGAGGCACAGAACCAGCTAATCCGAAAGGAGGAGGAAATTAGTATGGCAAGTATTTTCCCTTAGTGTGTTTGGTGTGGATGCTTGTCTGATATTACATCATGTGCAGTATTTGTTACCATTAAGGTATAACTGTATAAACTCAATTTTGATCTTTACAGGTTAATGAGATGCTGCTTGACAAAAAAGACCAAATGACAAAGCTTGAGAACAAGTTGCGAAGATTGGAAGATGATGTTGTAATGACAAAGAATGAAATTGCTACTGAGGTGAGATTAAAATGTGTAATTTTTCTGTAGAAAACTTTTGTATTATAGAGTCTGGTCAGGGTAGTTCTGATTTTTTATGTAGGCTTACTACAAGAACAATGACTACAATAAACACAGTCTTATTGTAACATGGACTTGACTCCATTTACTGTTTTAATGATTATAGGATAATGTATGTGTGGGTGGGTGGCTGGTTGCTCACATGCAACCTCTACAATCAGTTTGTTTCATGACTGATTCTAAACTTCCTTTCTGCCCAACTAATTACTAGTTAGATTAAGCTGTAGATATATGAAAGGCATTTCAAAATCTGACAAAGATACCCTTGCCGTGTTGAAGAAGGATTGTCTGTGATGAGAGGTAAAAGGTATGAGAGGCAGGTGGCAGGTAATGTCTCAGTGGTCTTCATCACCTGTGTCAACTGGAAAGAGTATGCCTTAAGTCTTGGCATGCTTTTTTGACACATGTGGCATATCATCCACAGGCCAGAGACTAGTGCTGTGATGCAGAATATCACAGCTCTTTGAAATGGTCCTTTCAATCTGTTCTTCATTGCTGTTCTTTATTTTAATTGGTGTATATAGTATCATCATCATTTTACATTTTGCAGAAGGTTAGATGTATAAAGATGAGATAAAGTTCTCTGTGGAATAAAGAATAGTAAATTGAACAGAAACTCTTCTATATACAGGTTCTTATGACATGTATATAGTAGAATTTTCTTTACTGAAGCTACTGTGAATTACCTGCTAAAAGCCTGTGTCCATGACTTCATCTTTGCTCTGAGACAAGTGATGCAAGGTATTACCCAAGTAGTATTAGGTTAGGAAGTATTTACAAACGATATTTATTATTAATTGCAATATATCCCCCTGCAAACAGGAGAAGGAGATGCAGGCTGAGAGTGATCGGTTACACCAGCAAAACCTGGAGGCACGGAAGACACACAAAGTTTCCCTCTATCAGAAGCAGTGTGCAATAGAGCAAGCCAAGGAGGAGTATGTCCTTTATTTTTCACTCTCTGTTCTTAGTACTGTTCTTTTTTATTTATTGTTTGTAATTTTATTTTTTTTCTTTCCCGTCTTTCTCCATAAATATTTGTTTTCCTTTCCTTATGCATATGTATCCTTACCTATCTCTTTGACCTTCTTTTGAATCAGAATATTTCTCCCTCTTTCCTTTCTTTTTTTTCTTTTTTCTCTCTCTCTTTTTTGTTGGCATTTCTTTTTCTGTTTCTTGTTTGAATCTTTTCTTTTCTATTTCTGTTTTGTCTCTTACTCTTTCTTTTGGTTTCATTATTTCATCTTTTTCTCTTCTCTTACATTCTCTCTCCATTTCCTTCTTCATTATCTTCTAGCCACAGAGACAGTCTGAATGATATGAATAAATAAATAAAACAGTAACAATATAAATAGATAAACAGATAATTGCATCAACATTAATAAACCGTCATCCTGTTGCAGGTCAGAGAATTTCAAGACCAGTAGCAAGGAACGTATGCGTTCTGGTGCAGAGTTCCTAGTCCGCGTGTGCCATGCATCCCTGGAGCACCTGGAGTGGCAGCAGAAGGAAGCCCTAAAGCACAAGATCACTGTGGAGAATGTGACAAGAAAACTTGTGGAATCTTCACTTACTGAAAACAGAGACTAAGAGGGAGAAAAAATGCTGACCCTGTGCCTAGAATCTTATTTTATTTTTTGTAATGTATTTAGGTTGGCCTGTCAAGGAATACTTGTTTGCATAAGAACTTTGTCTTTATCTTTGTTGTCTTTGCCCAAATTTTAAGCTTAAGGGTATGGCAAGATATTTTGCAGAACTGCATATATGAAAAGATGTATGTGATTCCCCCTACCTGTTCTATACAAAAGGATTTCTTTATTCTTGTATATCTGTCTCATTACTGGTCATTACTGTATCCTTGGTATGGCTGTGTGTACAGTTTCATTTCTTTCATCTTCTGTAATTTCATTTTTTACATTTCATCTGATTTTGGGCATTATTGGGAATATATTTAGAGTACTGTATAGGAATTTAGGCTTAAATATGCTCTTGCAGTCTACTAAAAGTGTCACTTATTTACACCAGTGATTTTCTTTTTCTTTTTTTTTTATAGCATAGGATCAAAATTGTTGGGTAAAAGTATATATTCAAGGTTTCAAAACTGTTACCTTCATTTTAATTGTTTCATTATTATTAACTTGTTTATTTTATTTTTTTTTATTTTTTTTGATTGTCAGGAAAAAAGTATGTAGTCAGTTTTTCAAAACTAATACCTTCATATCAAAGAGCTAGCATATTATCTTATTTTTTTATGGAGTATTGATATTCTTTCTATGTAGGGAGTCCATACTGTATGATAAGAGAAATTATATTGTAATGAAATATATTTTGATATTAGACCTAGGGTTGGCAGATTTAAATTGGTAATTTAAATCAACATTTATATCAAAGGATTAAAAAAAATCATTGATTTAAATGAAAATTTACTTCTGCCCAAAGTAACATGGAATTTAAAGGAAAAATATGAAAATAAACACATAATTACACCTGGTTTATATATTTCTGTGGAATTGAACACTAAAAACTTCCTTTTACAATGCAAAAAAGATTTCCACTTTCCATTAAAAATTAAATTAAAGGGTTTTACTTGTAATTAACTATACAGTACTTGTTTCTGAGAAGTAGAATACTAAAGCACTTCCTTTTACAATACAGCACTTCAAAGATTTTGAATGCTATTGAAAAAAAACAGAGGTTTACTTACACATTATTATATTTGTATCCTGAAGTAATGAATTTAAAAAAGAAAATTCACAATTATTATAGCCTGTATTTAAAACAAAAGCACATTGAATTTATACTGGAAAAACAAATACACCAATTTTACTGTTTTTTTCTATCAGCCGGTTTCTTAGTGTTGAATATACAAAACCATAGCTTGAAAAAAAAACTTTCAACCCCTGATGAAGATACCACTACAGACAGTAGTTGTGGTACTGCTGAAATAATATTACTATCCAGCACATTTGAATGTTACCTCCAACACTCAACATCTGACAAATACTTGGTCACAGAATCACTAAACTTAATTGCATGGAAAGGAGCCAATTTGGTTTGAAATTTTATGATGACTGGGACAAGTGAGGGAACTTTTCATCCATATAGTCCACTGTATTATTCACTTCTGCACTAAGCAGTTTTCATTGAGAGGAAGGATGAATTGGGTTCGCAAGAAGATGAGCTTATGTTATGACTTGGCCAAACCTTTTTTTTTTTTTTTTGCTGCAGTTACTGTATCTCTATCATTGCACAAAGTTGTGATTAATTCTTTCCAAATGTTCACTGCTTCAGCAGTTGTACATTTATCACTGTTCTTTGTCCAAAGCCACAGATGTTGGTTCCAGTCATGCAAGTAGGTCGTCTGCTGACCACTTCAATGCTAAGTTAGACACTTCTCTAACTCTGACATCAATCTGCTCCCTAGCAACTTAAATTTTCATTAAAAGCTGGCTAGTTCTTTATGTATATTTTCAGACAGTTACACAAGGGATTCCATCGTGTCTCGAGGCATAACCAGATGTTGCCCACCTTCCTGGCAGTATCTTGCATAAGCATATGCTCTTTAATACTGCCACCCCCCCAATCCCTTGCCCGTTGTTGTCGTGGGGGGGGCTTAGGAAGCGGAGACTGGGACCCAATGATGGGGAACTCCCCAACCTTGGGACTCAGCCCTCGACTCAACTAATTATGCATGGTCCTTTTTTCCCTTCCCACTTTTGTTTCTGTCCCTTCACCAAACCCTTCTGCTATCCACCTCCTAAGGTGTGAGAGCCGTGCTGAAAGGATGAAAGGCTGACTTTGTGCCAGTCCTGAACGGCCTGAGGGAGCCATGGGCACGGTATTCCCCTGATTTAGTATCTAGCCCTTACCCCTCAAGGGGACCCTGAGGGGTGGACTGTTTTTATCCCCAACATAACCAGGCTTACCATGGCCAGTAATGAAAATATATCCCCACTGTTAGGGGCAATGAGGCTTGCCCCTATATCAAATAGCCCCAAAGAAGTAAACCCACCCAATTCCCCGACCCCAAGGCCCTCCTTTGACCACGGCTCCGAACACTGCAATAACTGCCCCTTCACCAATGCCTACTAGTACAGTAGCCAACAATCAACCCTCAAGGAACATTTCCACTCTCCCAGCATGCCCAACTTCAACACCTCTACCCCCACAACCTCCAACATCAACCACCCCATCCTCCCTTATTAATACCTTACAGCCTTATAGCCCACCTCTCCATAACACTACCTCCATCAACACTACTCCATCTTCGTCACGCCCTCGCCCTTCTACCACCCCTATCTCTAAAACAATCTTGAATACTCTCTTCAGTGCAGCCAAATGGGACCGATTTTTCGTGATCCCTCCCACAGCTCCCTACTCTGACAACACCCTTCTCTTCCAACAATGCCTCCAAAAACAAGTAGGTAAAGTCTCTTTCCGTAGCCGACCTGACCAGCTCCCGTCTTGTAACAGTAACATCCGAAAACCAAGCCATAGCATTAACAAAACTAACTGACCTATATGGTAACCCCATCCTAGCAGAACCCCATCCAACCCTCAATACTTGCACCGGAACAGTCTCAATCTCACCAACAAATTGCCCAATCTATGACAAAGATTGGTCAGATTGTGGAGAAGATCTACTTGCCTGTCTCACAGACTAAGATGCAACATCAGTACAATGCTATTCCATCCCCCCCAGAGGTCATCGAAAGAAACCCACTAACATAGCCAAAATTACCTTCCGTAGACATGACCTTCCCTTTAACGTCTACATAGGAGGAGAATCCCTCCCTGTTCGTCCATACCAACCTCCTCCACGTCAGTGCCAAAATTGTTGGCGTCTAGGACACCCAGCCAAACACAGAAGAAACTATTGAAAATATTCAAGATTACTTAATGAAAACTGACACTCAACCTACAACTCCTGCTCCTTCCACACTCCAAGTAATTGCTGATATCCATCCTCCTCCTAACGATATCCCCCCTACACCCTACCCTCCTACCCACTCCCAACACAGCCCATCCCCCCTGACCCCAACCCCGCCCACATTAACTCTCCCACCATCCCCTCTATCCCTTCCACTCCCTCCTGGATACACACATGAATCCCTTATGTCACAAGTATCCCCTTCCTCAGACCCTCCATCTCCTAATACCCCTCCTGATAGAACACCAACTCCCACACCTCTCCCATCTCAAACCTCTCAGTCCTTATCCCACCCTCTAGCTGCTTCCCCTTCAAATTCTCCAACACGTACTACAAGCTATATCACTAAATCAACGAAAGTATAACTATCCTTCATTGGAATATTCGCGGATTCCGCTCCCACAGACCTGACCATCATATCCTTTCCTCTTATAACCCATCTATTGTATGCCTTCAAGAAACCTTTCTTATGCATATCCTTTATCTAATATAACACCCGACCTTAACCCTTTCACTCACTAATTCCTTTGCCCAGCTTAGACAACTAATCACTAACTCAACCACCCTTCACTAACATTAACTATAGTGCTACATGACCTTAGATGTCTAGCACATTTATCTTGCTTTTAACCATTAACCATTAACCATTTAATACTGCCAATTTCCAGATCATGAGCCAGAAGATTTAGTATGTGTGCAGTACAGCCATAGGTCACCAGCTTCAGTTCAGTTCCCTGTTCTAACAGCTTCTTCATTTTGTTTATATTAGCTACATTATCAATAGGCATTCACAATAGGCTTGTGAATGTTAGACCATCCACCTATAGACAGACATACAGTTCCATCCTTCAGCTCTGTAGCACACTTAGCATATTCTTTTTCATATATCATGGGTAGGCATTTGTCTGCATTTGCTTCTCTTGTTGGAGGAGTGTATCCTGGCCTCAACTTCCCAACCATTTTACAAAACTTAGGATGTTCTATCAATCTAAATTAAGAGTTGGTTGCAAAGACCATCTTAGTGACTTCTTATCAAGGTTTGCTTTTTCATGAGAACATGTCATTGTAACAAATGTGTCCAATGTTGTTGCTTTACACTTTGAAAAACCTGCGGAATATGTTGGACATTCTGTAATGCTGGAGTTGCAACACTTCTTTAAGGTACCTTTGGAGTCAGATTTTCAGTCTTACATAGAGTCAAACTCGTATCTCCATCCCTCTTCACACACTCCACTCTCTCTCTCTCTCACTCTCTCTTTCTCTCTCTCTCTCTCTCTCTCATCTCTCTCTCTCTCTCTCTCTCTCTCTCTCTCTCACAGACACACAATCCTCTCTCTCTCTCTCTCTCTCTCTCTCTCTCTCTCTCTACACACAGACACACAATCCACTCTCTCTCTCTCTCTCTCTCTCTCTCTCTCTCTCTCTACACACAGACACACACTCTCCTCTCTCTCTCTCTCTCTCTCTCTCCTCTCTCTCCTCTCTCTCTCTCTCTCTCTCTCCCTCCCTCCTCTCTCTCCCTCTCTCTCCTTCTCTCTCTCACTCTCTCTCTCTCTCTCTCTCTCTCTCTCTCTCTCTCTCTCTCTCTCTCTCTCTCTCTCTCTCTCTCTCTCTCTCTCTCACTCCACTCTCTGTCTGTCTCTCTCTCTCTCTCTCTCTCTCTCTCTCTCTCTCTCTCTCTCTCTCTCTCTCTCTCTCTCTCTCTCTCTCTCTCTCTCTCTCTCTCTCTCTCTCTCTCTCCAAGAACCTGTTATTTCTCAACTAAGACAAGTCGACACTAACCCATCACCACCCTAGTCCAGAAGAAGAATACTTCTGAATGATACCTCATAAAATTTGGATGATTAGTTTATGAGTAATGGTATGTGTAAGTTTAATGAAATTTCAATGACTATTAACAGTTCCAAAACATGCTGTATGTAAAGTTACATTTGTGCCATGTGGGTAATGATGAATGATGGCATACTAATTATGGTATACACACCATTATTACTCACTGTTATAAATGTTGCTTTTAATTAAAAAAAAGTAATTGTGATGAAATAATGAACGAAGATGACAAATTCATATTAGGTACTGTTTTGATATTTCTAATAACATTTATTCATGCAGTAATCTTTGTGAAAGCAGAAACTGGCTAAAGCATATTTGGAATAATATTTGGCTATAAATGTTAAAGTCAAACTCATATCTCCATCCCTCTTCTCTCTCTCTCTCTCTCTCTCTCTCTCTCTCTCTCTCTCTCTCTCTCTCTCTCTCTCTCTCTCTTTCTCTCTCTCTCTCTTACACAGAGACACACACTCCACTCTCTCTCTCCCTCTCTCTCTCTCTCTCTCTCTCTCTCTCTCTCTCTCTCTCTCTCTCTCTCTCTCTCTCTCTCTCTCTCTCTCTCTCTCTCTCTCTCTCTCTCTCTCTCTCTTACACAGAGACACACACTCCACTCTCTCCTCTCTCTCTCTCTCTCTCTTCTCTCTCTCTCTCTCTCTCGTCTCTCTCCTCTCTCTCTCTCTCTCTCTCTTCTCTCTCTCTCTCTCTTACACGGAGACACACACTCCA